TCCAGAGCTACGTCTGGCCTCCTTTTATGGCCAGTCTGAAACTGAGACAAGGGCTGCTGGGGCCAGCCTGGACATGGTAGGTTGATTTCAGGTGGAAGAAAAGCAAAATAACAACTCTAACAACCTATAACTCAATTTCTGTGTTATACAGTACTCAAAGTAAATTAAAAGGAAAATGCCTTTTGATGAATGGGTTTCCTTTATTGACTTAAAACCCTTTAAAAAAACTCTAAATACTGTACATGCTAAATTTTTTCTCTAATTCATGAGTTTGAAAATAAAGAGGTTGTATTCCTCTTGTGCAGTGCTGTTACAAGCTTTCTGTCAGAGTCATGAGAGAAACCCTGTTCAAACAGAAAACATCTTTTGGCAAGATCTCATCAGGAATGACTTCAGTTTTTAATACAAAGATGTTGTTTTAGGTTTTGTTTTGTCTTTCTGATCCACCTTTTAGCTATCTGAAACACTGGAGTGCCAAGAAAATGCAGTACAGAATTTCTAAGGTTATAGTTAAAAGTATGTTCTTAAATGCACTAAGATATTATAAATGTTTAGTGTACAAATAACTAAGTCTCCAAACTAATTTAACATTTCCATACAGCATCACCCCTGTGATATTCTGCTGGCTATTCCAGTAAATGAGTTCTGCTCTGTCTTGTTTCTGTGCTAGTGTCATAAACTTTGTGATGGATTTACAAGATTACCAGGATATTTAGAATTAGAATGAAGTTTCCTGCTTACTTTCACTATTGATGGAACCTCCTGTTTTCTTTTCTTAGTACTTCTATTCAATATAATTTTTTTCATTGCATTTAATGCTTAAGGAATTGCATTCACTACAGACAAGCATATCTACTGTATACATGCAAACAAAACATGACATTTATAAAAAATGCAGTTTAATCTCTGTTTTGAGAACCCAACAAAAAAAGCTGGATTAATCTGTTGGATTTTTTAAGAAAGAAAGAATAAAATCTGGCATAATTTGGGATTTCCAGGAAGGCTATTTGTTTTCTGAAATCTCTGTGGAACACCCTTGGTTTACAGTATTTCAATAGAAGAAAGGATGTGTCCTTTGGAAATAAATGTCCTAATGCTTTTCAGCATAGACAAGTCTTGGTTTATGAAATGAAATGTATATGAAACTGTGCCCTCACATGTCTATTCCTTTTGTCTGTTTTCCACTCCTGTTTCTGCTGTTCATAATAGCCAGTAATAAACTGTTAGTTTAAGCTGTCTGCTAGTTTGAAATCCGTTTTCAACTCATTTTGTAATTGATTTGATAATAACATAAAGGACTTCAAATTTGCAGGTACTGTATGATTAAAATATTAACTTCAATGAAAACATATGTGCAAGTCATCAGTCTTGGTTTTAATTGAAAAAAAATATGATATACCTTGTAAAGAGGTAAATATTATATACCCTGTAAAGAGGTAAATATTACAGTATATACCCTGTCTCTGTATTCTATGAACTGATCTTTTTCATCTTTGCTGTGATAAGACTGAGATCTTGTTTTTGGTCATGTCAATCATAATGTGCAAAATCTTATAAAGACTGTTTTTGATATTAGACATTTTAGCAGACTACATCCTATGCTATGTGTGTCTAATGAGACAAAACAGACTCTGACAGCTAGGATTTTCACGTCATGTACAGTACAAGTGATCAGATCACTCCTGTCTAGGAATCCTTGCACTGGCTTCTTATTAGGTTTCAAGATGGTTTCAAAATCCTTCTGCTTATGTTCAAGGGTCTACATGGTGTGGTTCCTTAATCTCTCACCCAGGGCACCTCTACTGCCATTTCGATCTTTCTAAAAGTACTGTATTGATTAAAGCATGTAGCTGAAGATCTTGTGGCACTCAAGGACCAATGTTCCCTTAATTGAACCGATTACTTCTTTAAAAATTGACCAATAACTTACAAGTGCTCCTAATCTTATACAAACAAGTGATAGTGGATGGCCTATAAGGCAAACTAACTTGAGACTCTCAAAGGCTAGTGTTGAAGACCACTGACCTAGCTAATACTGTATCCTATTGGCTTTTGGAGTGGAGTTCTGGAACAACATCCACTTAAACAAATCTGGTACTCAGCTACTTCTAGTCTAGTCTGAAAAAGGTATTTTTGCAATTGTTTTATCTTCTGCATCTGCTTTGTTTTCAGCAATGTTCCTTTTTTATTTTTTTTGAGAATGGTGATTTTTAAATATTGCAAAGTACTTTGGGATACTAGTTTTTAAAAGCAATGTATAAAATAAATGTATGATTATCCTTTCCATAAGTTATGTTTAAAGTTTAAAAATGCACATTAAATTACAGTATGTGCTATTGAAACACTAGGAATTCCAAGATTAAGTCTTATGTCTGACACTTTGATGTACTATTACTATTTGATGTACGTAATAATAAATGCTAGATGTTTTTCTGTTTGACAGTGAATACTTCTGCCCACCTGATACTATCCATAAACACAGTAAGCTTTATCATTTATGATTGGTGGGTAGTTTGAAGGACTATCAATGTACTGTACATGGTTACAAAAGTCTAGGAAGCTTTTCTTGAAAAATGATTAACCAAAAAGCAGATGATTTCTGTAGTGCTGTACAAATGGTAAGTGTAAGTGTTGAGAAAATAATTGCAAAAGTTTAAACTTGTGATTTTATGACACTTTGTTTTTTTATCAAGAAACAAGAAAAATATTTTTAAGTTATAAAACCACATGAACATCTTATGTTGGGCTAGGGGAGAAACCAGGAAAGCATGCATTCTTACATCTTTGTCTCTTTCATTTTTAAAGATTGAGTCTACTGCTTTTTCTTCCATTGCACAAGAGAGGCATCTCTGCTAGTCAAGCAGTTCAGCATCTGTAAGATACAGTATTCTGAGATGCATCAACAGTGAACAGTGAATCAAAAGTGAAGCACAAACCAGAGGATGTAAATGGTAATCACAGGAAAGCGCATTTGAAACTGAAAACAGGAGGCACAGTTTTACACAGATGGTTTGGGATTTCTGATGCCAGCTGCCTAGTTATGTTGCAGAAGTTGAAAACCTTTGTTTCTTTCAAGAAAGTACTTTTCAAGAAAGAAAGTACTAGATGCCCAGATCACCCGGCTGCTAGCTACCAAATGAGAACAAAATGGGCCAAGTACTGTACATAGCTCCTCTTGTTGTAATGTTTTTTTTCATTCCATTGCTTTTATGTGAAAATACTTACTTTTAAAAGCAAAAAAATCTAGCTGCCTGCATTCAAAAATTAATATTAACTTGAACATTACGTATATGAATATAAACTGTGAAGCATAAAAATGCAACAGATATTATTGGAACCTATACCATTAATTGTATTTTAATACCTCTTAGTATATGGAATCAAACAAATTTGAATTTATATCATACAAAGTCAGATTGCCTTCTCTGCCTCTGTATACTTATGCAGTGGAAGCCTCTGGGGAAATACTGTGAATCATTTTAGAAGTAAAGAATTTAACTTCTTTTGGCTTGATACAGAGGGCTGTGCTTTTGTTAGATTCAGCTAAAAATGTAAGGCATTATTGTAGGCCATTTTCACATAAATATCCCCCAAGTCTTTTGGAACACCTTGTGTTTTACTGCATATCTTGTCTGCTGTGTGTTGTTTATGTGTATCCACCATGACCTTTATTATTTGTGTAGTGGTACTGTATTCCTTCTAGTCAGTCTGCAAAGACAATTCATCCTTGTTCTCTGCATTGTTTAGGGCATTTCAAAATGGAAAGAAATTCTCCCTACTGCACGTTTGCCATATTATTTTCACACTGTGAATGGTTTTAATATGAGTCCTATACTTTTGTTTTGCCTTCACTGTGATTATCTACAGTACACTTGACCCTGAAAAACAAATGCATTATTCTAATTAACTTTTCTTAGGAAATCTCTTATGGTGCAGTGTACTGTAGATATTACAATACTGTCATGAAAATCATGGAAAATGCAGGTTTACACATTTTTTTAATGTATAAACTGTATAAACACATGTAGAAGTGGGAGAAGATCTAAAATTGGCTGGTTTAGGCCATTAAGAGCTTAGCTGGAATGAAGACACAACAGCTCTCCAGGATCAGGATTGAGCACCCCTTCAGTCTGTGATGCTGATGCCCTTGTATGGAGAAGAAGCACTAGGGGAGAATAATAATTGATATCAACAGTGTGTTCCTACACTGTTCCATCTGATGCACTGAAAATAAAATGAGAAACTGTATGTTATTAGCTTTGTTTGTTTGCTCTATTTACAGTATACACTATTTGCCACAAAAGAATACGTCCAAATTTCTTTGCATGTGTTAGCAACATTTCCAATGGACATGTTCAGATAGATGTAATGAGATAATTTACATTTAAGTAGTAGTAGTAGTAATAATAATAATAATAATAATAATAATAATAATAATAATAATATGGGATGTATGTTGTCTATGGAGTTGTAAATAACCAGTGACTGTGCACAACTTCAGTTGATCGCATCCTCTGGCCGTCGTTCTGATTCTCAAAAAACTTTGCTTTGTCTCTCGAAACTAATTTACAACATTCAACTTCTTAAAACAGATAAAAGATATAAAGCAATTGTAGTACTTTTTCACTTCTTGAATAAGGAAAGTGCTGAGACCAAACTTATTTATTTTTACAATTAGTCCAAATTCTCCGAATACTATATCATTGTATGCGTGTACATAACTTTGGTCATACGTACTATATTTATATTTTCTCGCTTAAACCTTAAACAATTGAAAAAAGCAATTTGATATAAACGTTTTAAATGGAGGAAAAGAATAATTTATATTGAAAATACTACTGTTTATGTTACGGAATCTGGCCACTATAACACTGCTAGTATATAAGCTTTTTGTGCAGCTTTACCAAGCAAATTTAAAAATGGCTTACCAGTCTGTCATAATTTAAGTGGGAAGTTATTATCTCAAGTCCCCTCCCCCACTATGTATAGGCAAGATTGCTCTGAGCTCCTTTTTTACTTTTTCTTCGAATTGAGAAGTTTGAGGAGCTCTTCCCATTAAATGTCCAAAAGTGGATTTAAAATCTAAAGCGTCTGGTAAGTGATACCAGCATAAAAAAAAACCACGTTTTCCTGCCTTCACTAAACCTCTGCTTAGCTTTTTTTTAAATTCCTTTTCCTTTAGTTATTCAAACAGTTGTGTAACGCATTAACATTTTTGCTGTTTGTAACAGGACAGTGACAAGCCCTGGCTTTCAATCCCTCATGCTGTTTCGCAATAATCGATTTTCAACTTTACACCGTATTTAACATTATTATAAATGTTTATTTAAAGACTAAACGTAGGCTATACTAATCTACTGTATACTAATCGCAAATTAAAATTAAATATGTTTATTTTACTTTTTAAATGTGTGGATTAGAAAACATCTTTGTTTTAAGAATGCGCAAGAATAATGGATACAATATAAAGCATTTTGAAGGGAAAATAAGTGACTTGGTATTTGGAAACTCGCATGCTTAGATTATTTACAGTACATTTACTCTTCTGCGTTATTTACTACTAGAACATGGTTTACAGTTTCTCTGAAAGTCTTTGAAAACATACTGTAACTATGGTCTCCGGATTTTACATATATAAATGATGACCACCGGAATAGAAATATGAAGAGCTCTGGAACCTCTTAAGGTGCTAAGGAACGGTTTATACAGTACATTAACCTAGTCTAGTTTTTCACAGATAGGATAATTGTTGTTTTTCTAAAAAATGTTGTTTTTAATGTTTTGACATGCTAGGGGGATTAAGTGATTTCTCTGTTATACCAGTGAAGTTTATGTCTCCTGATATTGAGCAACATTAGGAAATTGTATTGTGCGATTCATGTATTTTAAATATATTTACTTCAGCTACAAAACATCTCTACATCTCTTCTGTTCTACAGTATAACATTTTGTATGCACATACTGTACCAGTCTCTGCTCATAGTTTTCCTCTTGTCAAAAGATAGTAGATTTAAAATGCTTAAACCTACCATATACAGTATACAGTATATATATATACAGTAATCAGTCCTCACATAGTTCTGTTTAGTTAACGTACATCCATATTTCAGATTTAGCCTTAAACAGATTGGTGCAGGCATGGACAGAACTGACCAGCTAAAGTAGCCTATGTACTGCATGTGTAGGGATAATGCTTTGAATTGCCTTTTTAAACTTTATACAAGGCAAGGATACTTTATTGTAAAGACCTGGTCCATTATACAGACCAGGTCAGTTGCCCTGGACTGTGGAATTGCAGCCTGTTGTGTCCTGGAATTTGTATAATGGAATCCCAGGAAATGAGTAATTCGAATTTTTTTGTCCTGGATACCTTTCAATTTTTTGGAAGGTATGAGTGAGCTGTAGCACTAAACAAAGATTTAAGACAAGGAACCTCCACAGGAAGGTACAATTTCTACTGCTAAATGACTGCAAATGTTATATAAAGAAATTAAAAAGAAACTAACATTTCAATGTAGAAGCTACTACAGTACGTTACACTGTATATCATTGAAACAATACATACGTATGAGTGCATATTTATTTACTTTTGTCATACTCCCTTTTGACATCAATGTAATGTGTCAAATGTACAAATATATTGTGCACAGATATGTGTAATGGAGCACTACAAAACGTGCTTTAGGCAAATCCTTTGTGAAACAAATTAGTAAAAAAAATACATACTGTACAAGGTAATACAACTAACTCCTGATTCTAAAAAGATACATGCAGTATAATAATTAAAAACACTGTGCTCATTTGGAGAGACTGCATGCAAGATGCATGAGATGTGGATAACCTTGTGCTAATACAGAATACTTTCTCTGTTCAGCTCCTAGCCTGACATCATGGACGGAACAGCCGAAAGGGAACATCTAAATGGGCAAGACAGAGAAAGCTGTGTGGTGGAAGAAAACAGCCTGAAGGAGAGAGGGAAATGGGCCAATAAAATGGAGTTTTTGCTTTCCATGGCAGGGGAGATCATTGGCCTAGGCAATGTATGGCGATTCCCTTACCTGTGCTATAGAAACGGCGGAGGTGAGTAAAGGGCTTGTGTCATAAACATACAGTACCATGAAAAATGATTTTCCTGGCTTGAATGGGCACATTATTTGTAATAGTGAATAAGAACAGTACATAATAAATCATAGTTACTGAAAAAGCAATAATACCCAATTGTCAGGAAGGATGACAGCCATGGATGAATGGATAATATCTAAAGCTTCATTGAAAGAACCATTAAACATTCCACCTACTCAAGAAATGAAAAAGGAGCAGTTGTGGTGATTGACACTGTAATGATGTTTGACAGCACAGAAATTCATACTTACAAAGCTACTGTATTCCAGAATATCCGGCTTTCTTGATTATTTTTCTATTGGTTTTGCCATAAATTATCACAAATTAATTAAATAGAGCTATCTTTTAATTTTGAGCTTTCCAGTATATTACAGCACTTGCAATTGGATAAGGTTTTCTGAGAAAGAAAATTGCAGTGGTAATGATTTTGACCTGTCATTGCCTAGTCTGTGGTTGCACAAAATGTACCGTAGGTGATCTGTGTGTATGCAATAGAGCTCAAGTTGAGTCACAATATTGCTTAATATTGCCTAAGGATAAATTGACAAAGGTATTTTTTATTTACAGGTACAGTATAAGAGGCAAAAAAGCCCTGTTTGTTAATCTCTAAGCATCGCAAAATTTGATTTTTTCTAAAACATATTGCCCAGTTTGTATTCTTAATGTAATACTTTTACATTTTTATCAATGATTAACATTTCAAATCAATAGTTGGCAGCCCTAATGTGGTGTTCCTTCCAATTACTTACATGTGCATTTTTAGTTCTGTGTAAATACAACCATGACTCCATTATTGAAGCACTGGAAAAAATGTGTCCTTCAATAATAACTACTGGTAAGTTGTCTCATGATAATGAGTGACACCTCTAGAAGCTCATGTTATGCATATTATATTAGTTATGCATAAACTAATAATACATGCATATTTATTTAGAACCATGTGGCTTGTTCTGTCACCATTCATTTTTTTTAATATGACACATTTTATCCCTTCAGCAAATCTTTGTGAATTTTCATCTGAATGTACAGTATGGTTCCTGATGTACTGCACTGTATATTGTTTTCCAACACTATAGAAATAAAGTTATAGATGATCAAATACAATTTATCACCTACCCAGCAAATATTCTTTAAATTACACCTGGGCCTGATTTAAAGGAAAAAATAGAAACTGTGCAGCCTTTTCAACAAGGGAAGCATGCCTGGGTACAATTCCTGGGGTATGGTCTGTGTGGAGTTTGTACTGTATGTTCTTTCCATGTTAATGTTAATGGGTGCTCTGATTTCCTTACACAATCCAGAGATGTCCTGGTCAACTTCTGGGACAATTGGCCCCTGGTGTAAATGTGGTTGTATCTGTGTGAATGTGATGAATTGGTCCCATCCAGGGTGTATCCTACCTTATGCTTATTTCTTGCCAGGACAGGCTCTGGCTCCTCAAAGACTCTGTATTCTACTGTATAAAGTGATTAGAAAATTAATGGATGGATTTTCAACAAAGGCAAATTAATTTATTGTACTAGAAAGTTCTTTGTGACTACAGTCTACAACTGATTTTATTTCAAGCATAAAGTGGTTTCAGGTTCATTAACAAGTCAGAGAGGTATTTTCCAACAATGTGGAGGCATTTGAACAATAAACATTGAGGCAGCACACAAAACCAAGTTGTTATTTTTACAGAGGATCTGGGGACATGGCTACAAATAAAATCTGAGAACATAATAAGAAAAGAAATGTTAAAGTGAAGAGGAGACCCATCAAAACCCTAACCCCATCTGCTCAATACCTGATCAATCAGGTAACTACTGGGGCAGATCTGGATCAAGATACAGTACAACAGGAAAGGCTTCTCAGTTAGCTGAATGTCTAAATACGGAATATTTTTTTTCAAACAACCAGTTTTTTAATAGGTTGATATACTGTATCGTAGCGTAGGCCTCATGTGAAGTTGCAAGCAGCATACTGTAGGCTTAGTGTACATAAAGTTCACAGTACAAAATATTTTGAATAGAAGAATTGGTAGATGTGAGCAAAATTGTGATATTTAATAGCTTTTTAAACAATAGTAATAATGATTCTTTAATTCTACAATTACAGTATAGGGCACAGTAGAATACTTGCAGTTTGTATAGCATATCAAAATAGGAAAATAATAATATTTTACTGGCAATGTATTCTTGGATTTAGTATTAATATGCATGTTTTTAGACATCATGTCTGTCCCGAGGGAATGAAAGGGAGTTGCCATAGACAGTTAACACCTGCCCCACCAATATCCTGAGCTATGTTTAACTGTCAGTGCTTTAAAAAAAAATCTGGATTTGCAAGGTGTCTTTTGTGTTGCTGAAATGCAGTCAAAAAAGGGTGTGGAGAAGAGGTAAGGGCATTAACAGGATTTTAAGAGCACAAGATGGGAAAGAGCAAAATCTTCCGGATATCAGAATGGAAATTGTTAACAAAGAGAAAGCCTCTTACATTTCCATGGAAAAAAAAGTTCAATATCATGACGGAAAACAAAAAAAAGCAACAAAGTGAAGTAGAGAAAGCTATTCAAGAATAGGTGCCCATTCTTCTCCATGTTCTGAAGATTACAGTATTGGCTATGTAGCAAAATGTCAACCCCTGAACTGCTATTCCACAGAAGTAGTGCTATTTGATTGATTTAAAGAAAAAAAAATATTGAAAGTCTGTAATTTTAAGCATAATGAAAGTTGTGCCAATGGAATAATTCTATGACAAAAATCATAATAAAAAAGTCAAACAGCAATGCACATGTCTAATATCAGATCTAATATCTGTCATATGATCCATTGATCTCATCTGGTTCTAAAAAAGGAACAATCACACAATCTTGTGAGGTAGGAGGAAGCCAGTCCCCTATAAAAATCCATAATACAGGAAGATATGCCAAGTTGTATTCAAACTCAGAACCCTGCAGCTATATGGCAGTGTTGCTCATCTGCAAATCCTCCATAGCTGATTATAGCTGAGTACCCATTAGTAGTTATAGGTGACAACATGATACAGGTCATTATTTGCACTTTTGCCTATTGAAAATAAATTGCTTATCGCATATTACTTCACAAGCTGTAATATGAGTGTAGTTTATAAAATGAATGTCACGACACACCTGAGTTGAATACTTTTGGCAAATATATTTTGCCATGTATCCCTTGATGCACAAGTACTTCACAACCTTTTTACCTCTCTCCTTTGGAAATCAGGTTATTAATGCTTTATACAGTATATGTACAGTATTATACCAAAAGCACTGATGCAGTAGTCTATCTAAACTTGTTTTTTCTGTATTGTACTTGCCCTGACCTTGTACAGATGCAGCCATTCAAAATGCGCGGGCTATACCGCATTATTTTCCATTGCGCTGTACGCAGTCTACCGCGAGTTACCGGTAAATACCGCTAGTTACCATAAATTCTCCTATAATACCGCAAGCAAAATAATAGTATCCGGAATTTCCGCAAGGTGGAGCTAATAAAGCTCAACCTCTCATGTTTGAGCTGTCGCCATCAAAGTCTTTAACGAAGATATAACTAATAGTATTAATAATGAATGACCTTGGACAAGCTGTAAGTGTAAACTCAAAGTATTGCCTTGGTCCACATTCTTAAGTAACACCACAGCATTTCACAATCACACATTTGTTTCCAATCATGCAAAGTACAGTAATGTTTGAAAATCGATTCACCATGCCTTTCACATGCTCATAAAAGAGATTGATTTAGGAACATAAACATATTACCGTATGCAAACTGTACTGTATACAGTATGTATATGTATATTTAATGTCTTAACTGTGCCCGTTTAAGTATTGAATATTTATATGGAATTTTACCACTGAAAGGAAATCTTAGTGCCTGAGCATAAAAAGAATAGGAGCATACTGCAACGCGTGCGAAGGCCATTAACAATATTAATTTTGGAACTTAAACATACAGTATATGGCTGGTCTCGGTACTTTAAAGAAAACATACACTCCAGTATTCCATTACTCCCTAAACATTTTAAGCATCGAAGTCTTTAACTAAAGTGATACCGGAGTCAACAAGCATACTTTTAGAATTTGATTAAAAGGGAATATAATATGGAATCGTGTATCTAAAGAAATTAATAACAATATAATTATATTCATGTTGATAAACTTGCTTAATTGTACTGTCTGGCATCTTGTAATTCCCAGTAAATACCCAGTGATGTTTAAAAATCAAGAATTGACCGGAAACATTACTACTGTGATGTTAACTTTCACAGCTCACTGATTATTTTTAGAGTTCATTTTTTCCAACTTATTAAATGGTTTGGTTTGGAAGCCTATAGTTAATTGATCTTAGAATCATGGTCAGTTTTGTTTTCATGCAGGATCACAGAGAAAGATCACAGAGAGCTTTTTAACAGATGCCTAGATGGCTTTTGAGGTAAACTCAGGTTTACTCAGGTTAACTTGGGCCCTCATTTCAAAGCATAAAGTAATCCATTTGATTTGGTTTGTTGGTACCTTTCAAGTTTTTAAGTACCTGTTTGAAGTCTCTACCTAATCTCCTCTTTTCAAAACTAAGAAGACTTTTGTTCCTGTAATCTTTTTGGACATAGAATCCTCTTTAGACCCAGACATATTGTGGTCGCTATTCTCTGAAGTCTTTCCGTGGCAGCAATGTAATTTTCGTGATGACCAGAATGTGGTAACCAGGATTGTGCACAATGAAATGTGATTTTGTTCCCTGTGTGCTTTAGTACATTGCTTGCTCTTTTATTTCACCATGGCATCTAAAAGAAGTGATTACATAGAGCTTGATATTTCATGATTATTTCCTCATGTTGAGTACATTTAGAAAGAAAATGTGGAAGTAGTTGGTACAGAGTTAATAATTCTGAGATGGTTAACTCTTTATTTAATTGATCAATTATTGAAACAGGAGAATCAATACTTTAAAAAGAATACATATAGGTGTACAGTACTTATATTCTCAGCATTGAGAAAGACTTTCCTACATCTTTACATATTAACATGACAATGCTGGCCAGTGTACAAAAATGTGATTCCTCCCATATCATGTAATTTCTCTAGCTACACTTTGATGGTTTGGCATTTCCCCATTGTATCTTTATCATTGTCTACTTTACAGGTTCTTTTATTTACCGTCTAGCCCAGGGGTGTCCAGCTCTGGTCCTCAGGAGGGCTTATCCAGAAGGTTTTATACATCTCTTGAAATCTCCCGTCTTCCTAAGAAAAACAGAAAGCTTCAACTTGTCCAGTAAAGCAAATATTGAGTTCAATTAGGCAATTAAGGTGGAAGGCACAGTGGTGCAGTGGTTAGCAGGGCTGTGAGAAACAACAAAAACAGAAACCTTCTGGCCCTTCACGAATGCAGTTGTGCACTTCTGTATTAAGTTTCCCAACATGTTGACCATATGATGGAGCTGAGTTGTTGTTTTTCAGGTGTGTTTCTCATACCATATTTGGTGTTCCTTTTCTTCTGTGGGATCCCTGTGTTTTTTCTGGAGACTGCCTTGGGTCAGTACACCAGTGAGGGAGGGGTTACAGCCTGGAGGAAGATATGCCCGCTATTTGAAGGTACAATAATGATTCAGATACAGTACCTTAGGTCAGATGTACTTAATCTTATCTATGGAGTCTATACAGTATATCTAATTGGTAGTGTGAAATGTAAGATATCAATACTGTATGTAAAAGCAGAATTTTTTGCTGCAGTATATGGTATAAGCTGGAGATGTCTCATCAAGTTAAAAATTCTGAGATTCTTAAATGAAGTTTGAATTAAAGTGAGTTCACCATATAAATTCCCAGGAATGTATCATATCCCATTCATCTGGGGAAAACATTAATTTAGGAAAACTTCTTGGAGCATAGGAATTAATTTTGGAAAATATAAAAATAATCAAATTTGCTTTAATAATACCACATTTTCATTTATACTTTGATTGGTGGATGACCTTTAATGTTTTCTCTATAAACCCAGGCAGTGCTTCCTGCCAAAAGAACTTGTTAGTAACTGGAAATTCAGTTCTATCTATTTGAGTATGAAAGCTTTTTCTCTGTCATTTTGCAGGAATTGGCTATGCATCCCAAGTGATTGTTATGTATCTAAATATCTACTACATAGTGGTTCTGGCGTGGGCTATTTTCTATCTCTACAATTCATTTAAAAACCCACTCCCTTGGGCAACCTGCAGTAATCCCTGGAACACAGGTATGTGGAACATAAGAAAATGTGTTTTAGATTTAGAGGTGGCAGATTTTGAAACAGATGACAGCTGGCTAACCAAGGGAAGCTGAAAATGTTACCATGGACTTGTCTCAAAAAGTAACTTTTATTAATAATGATATTATTATATTATTGATTCAATTAATACTTATTAAAACAAATTACTGGACAGCTATTTTTCCCCAAAACATACTGTATATAAAAATGATTTGCTATTACAACCCCCATTCCACAGACACTCTATGAAAACAACAAATAAAAACTCAAGTAATCTCTTCACCTTGAAAGAACTTCAGATGTTTCTCAAGGGGAAGATTCCTTAAGTTAAATTATCACTGAGACTGGGACTAGAGGCAACAGATATTCAACCAGTGAAGACCCTTTAGTTCTTCATCTAACTCCACCTGAGTGTTAACCCCTTCTAAGGTCTCTGGATTCCCTGACTCAGTGATTGATACACGAGGTTGTGCCACCCAACAGCAAAATAATCTAATTTCTTGTTGCATTCTGTGATGCATCTACCTATCATAAAAGCCTTTAAGGGATAGCTCAGGGTTACTGAAATTTCTGAAGTGTTCCTCCTCCAAAACACCCCTCTCTCTTTTACACACTTCTGCATCCGTAGCTCTTTGCACACATACAGATGCAGCCATTCAAAACGAGCAGGGTATGCGGTACAATGCGGTGGGCGTGTCGAAATTACACGCGGTGTACTGTATGCAAGTTAGATTATGTTCATAGTATCCGGAATCACCTTGTAAAACCGCCAGGTAGAGCTAATCAAGCTTAACTTCTCATGTACAGAATTGGAGCTGTCAACAGAAAACACCTGGTTTTGAATCCTGATCACTGCTGAGGGACAATCTTTATTCATTTAAGAATTTAAAATGTATACTCTTTGGACTTTTAAATTTAAACTGTCTATTACAGCATGTTAATCATTATACATTAAAAAGTTGGTATATTTGATAAAACCAATTTTTTGCTAGTTGCTAGTTGGCCACAAATACACAACCTGCCATCTTTATCATAAATATTTTAATTATGCAGAAATAGTTTATGCATCAAAGTCTTTACCAAAGATATTACTAATAGTATTAATAGTATTAATGAATGACCTTGGACAAGCTATAAACTCAAAGTATTACCCTGGTCCACATTCTTTGTAACTGTCTTTGTAAATTAAAATACTTTATTTTTTCATTGACAAAAACAGCATTTCGTTGATCTGATCATGCATTCGTTTCCAATCAAACAAAGTATGCCTTTCACATGCTCATAAAAGATATTAATTTAAGAACATATTATATTACTGTATGTAAACTGTACTGTATATGGCTGGTCTTGGTAGTTTTAAGAAAAAATACACACCAGTATTCCATTTCTCCCTAAACATATTAAGCATCAAAGTCTTACATGTGGTTATTTCAGAAACGTTTTTTCGTGCTCTTTCTGACCATATTATTGTACGTTTATATACATTGCGAAAGGTTATTGTTCTAACCTTTTCTGCGAATATGCTTGTTATCGGAGTAAACAAAAGCATACTTTTAGAATTTGATTAATAGAGAATATACTGTAATATGGAATCGCGTATCTAAAGAAATTAATAACGATATAATTATATTCACGCGATAGCTTAAGTGACTGACTTATAAGCGTGAGGTTGGGTGTTCAAATCCAGCAATCGCTGTGAGTTTTCTTTTAACAAAAAAACATTTCTTTGAAAAACTAAAATAGCTAATATTATGGACACTACAGTATATTGACATTTTTTATATTTCTTAATATCACAACATGTTCGTACTGTATGTACACAGCGGTACTGCAGGGTGTAGGGCGCAAACGCGCAAGCCCTACGTTAATGTTGCACATTCACCTGGCGCTGTGGCCGAAGAGCGCCCGGCTGGGGTACGCAGCCAGGAGCTGGACAGGAATGGTAGTGAAGCCGCTGACCAGTGCAGCTGACCCACTTTGAAATGACCATACAGTCTGGGTAGATCGCCCAGTTTTTGCACCCCTGTGTCTGCTCTGCTCTGCTCACTCTCTCTCTCGAAAGTGCTGGCTGTGCCGAATTTCACTCCACAAAGTCTGAGTCTCTGTGTCTACATTGTTTGTAAACAAGTACTTCCTCAGCTTTTTCATTTTCAATGTAGAATAGGTCAAGTCTTCCAATGAAAGAGAGTCCACCTTCCCCCCACGGACAGACTGACACATGTTTTCTTAGAAAAACAGATTCACAACACAAACCTGTGTCAGTCTTCTGTGTAAAAAAAATCGTCTTGAACACCGTGGGTGCTGTTTTTAATAAGCTGCTGAGTAAAGAATAGGAATTTTCCTGTTGTCAGCAGTATTGTGTATATAATTATATGTACAGGCTGTGAAAAGTTTCACAAGTAGAGGTCTTTAAGATTAGGCTGGGCAAACGATTTTTTTAATTCTTAAAAAAATAAATAAAAGTAATGCTTTATAGTATCTTAACAGATTCTTGATGGAAGAATGTTTGACAAACACATAAAGTTTATAAACCAGTGATAATTTTATTAATGTACTTGATATGTTAATGCTGTAAGTTAGATTTAGTTTATGAAGCATCATTGTTAACACCTGTTGTTAAGACCTGTCTGTCTTACTCAATGCCCCACAGACACCTGTTTGACGTCATGGAACAAGACAAACAGCACATTCTTCAATTTGAACTCTTCTGATGCAGACAACCGGGAGTAAGCTTAAAACCTGGGTGAATTTTAATGATTAGATTTGGCTATGTTGATATGAATTTTCAATTTATTTTTATTGGCTAGAGCATTTGAGTTTTTTATAAGTTAAACAAACTTGCTGTTATTTAATTTTGTAAATAACATTTACAGCAACAATTACAAAATGCCAGTGATTTTACTGTAGAAAGACTGCCGTAATCCCTTGTTATATGACCGTAAAATATTCCTTCTCACACAGTGAAAACTTGTATAATGAAAAATTAATTCCCATTACATTTTGTGTTTTAATCTCTGGTTCCAAAATTCAAATCTGTTCCCTCATGCACCCAAAAGTCACTTTAATACAGTATAGAACAGTACCTAATTATGAAAACAGTAATAGAAAACAGTCCCTACTATTTTTTTTGAGTAACATGCTTAAAGCCAATAAATAAACCATAGGGAGGAAAAAATAATACTCTTGATTATTAATTTGAGAAGATGTGATAAATGAATAAACCTGGCTTCTCAAGAATGCTTCATGAGAGCCAGATTGTAAGAGAGAGTATCTGCTTGTTAAATTAATAAAAATAGGTATGAATTACTACATCTAGAATAACAAACACTTCTTGGCTTGTGGCTTCTTGTATCATGACGGATTACAGTACATAACTATATACAGCATGCACAGATAAGTTGTTTTCCTAGAGACGTTTTAAGCAGTCTTCAATACTTCAAAAATGAGTGCATCATGCAATTGTGTTTGCATTTGCCACAGTTTGAGTAAGTTCATGTAAATACAGTATATCTCATTTTCATAGTTTGTTTTACCCTTCTTTTAAAGTAATAAAAAGCAGTATTGTTTGTGTTTCAAATTGAATTATCAAATTGACAAGACATCCAATAGACTGAAAAAACAGCACAACCAAACCTTTTAAAGAGGATTTGTATATACAATATGTATATTTTGTTCTCTATGAATTTGCTAACTACAGTATATAGTTTGTATAAACTGTATAAAATGTATACTTACAAAATGACCAAAATTACATTGGAAAACCTAAAACATTGTGATTAATGTATTAATTTTAACTATTCTATTCTTAATTTATTAAAAACAGCAGTTATAAAACCACCATAGATTTATTGTAAAATGATTATATGTGAATGTATCTCCTTAAATGAACTGGGCTTTTAACTAACAGTTTGTGCCCTGTCAAAAAAAAAAAATAGTTTATTTTCTTTTTACAGATTTCCTGTTGTGTTGGGAAAAAATTCTCCAGAAGGTGAATTTTGGGAGTAAGTATAATGTCGCACATAATATTATTCAGATTTTGCATTCATGTATTGATTAAAATATTCAGTTAAAAAAATGCCTTATATTGCACATCATTTGTAATTCACCAAATGGGAGTTGTTAGAAGGGGGTGAATACTTTAGCATGGCACTATATACAAATGAAAAGTTAATCTTTTCCATCAGAATGTTATTTTACAAGATAAACAATAACATAAAAATTGTAATATGGTACTTACAAAGTATAGTTTGTATTATACAGCATCCTTCAGATATATTCATACAAAACAAAAAATAATATAACAGATAATATGACCTGAATTTGCCAGTCTAGGTCTGAAGGACAATTGAAACCAAGTCTTAAATTCAGAAAACATTAAAATGAGGATTTATGGGCATGCTCCTCAGTGTTATATTTGAGCTCTAGAACATAAATTTCATGTTGAGAAACACTCATGCCCACTGTAAATTATGGTGGAGGGGTCTGTTGTGTTTTAAGGATGTTATATATTGGTGGGTCCTAAATCCTTTGTTAAAACAGCGGGGTATAATGAACACTAGCATGTACCTGTCACGGACGTCCAAAGGGACTAACCGTGGGGAGCAGGAGAGCGGAAAAAGACCCATATGC